GCTGTGTAATTTATTAATTCATTCATAATAGCCTTTCAGTACTGGGAAAGGCTCTTTTAAAGGGGCATAGCAGGGGAAAATTAGTGATTTCTTTCCTCATTGCCATAAATCTGTCTCCTGACAAATATAGACTTCAGGAACATTTCTAACTTCATAACTATCTGGGAACCTTTGTCTTCCTTTCTGTCCTATCAGGATGCCAATACAACTTCTTATTTATTTATTTTTTCCTTCTGTTACAGCCTCTCCCTCCAAGGCCAACTGAAAAGTGAAGTGCAGTTTTGAGTTCTAACATGGACCATTTACCTAAAGATATAAATTATTTTTGCCAAGCAATTGAAAAGATGAATTTCTATACTTACTATCATGGCTTGCCTAGAAAAATTTGAGCTTCATCCTCTGAATAATATGCCTTTTAAAATCAAATGAATGTTTTAGTGCTTTTCCACCAGCTCCTCAAGAACTTTCCCAATATAGATCAAAATGAATTCATTTGACTTGAAAGAAGCATCTTTATTCCCCAAATTCCAATTCTCTTTGTCAAAGAGAGATCCCAGAATCTGTCATTTTAAAAAGACTTAGTTATGTACTGTTGTTTATTTTTAAATACATTTTATAGAAAATAGGAGAGTATTACATTGAATGTAGATTTCATTTGCTTTTTCATATTTCCATTTTTCCCCGTTATGTGTCAATGAAACTTAATCTGATAAGGAATTGACCAACTGATTTAATATTAAATATCAAAAGGAAATGGCACTCTTTCTGAATAACATTATAATCCAGTTTGTGTAGAGAGTACTTAGGTATCAACAAGGGCTTACATAATCTTTGCTGTTGGACACTTATTCCACTCCAGTTTAGATTTAGATTATCACATTAAACAAAAAGATTGGATTATGTGCCTTCCACAGAAGTTTAAAAAAATAGACTACATAGTTCTGAAACAATAATTGAGGATGACTAGGTGTGCTGTTAAGTCAATTCATAAAATCTCTACCCAATAAAATAGTAATTGTGGGCCTTGAGGAAAAAAATTAAGAAATGAGTCATGAATGCCAATGGGTTTAATTGATACAAGAAGGATCTTCAGCCACAATTTGCTATTTATCCATTCAAGTATTTTGAAAGTCAATACCAAATGGACATTTCTCAACAATTTATACATGGTTCCTTCTATTCTTACCTTTAGTTTATTCTTTAAGATTGATCATTTCTCTCCAAATTTCATTGATTTATTTTGGTATGTCTCTATAACTCTTACTAATAAAAATTTCAAAATATATTTCTTTTTTAAATTCTGCTTTTCCCATAGAACACATTTAAGCAGGCTTAAATAATAAATACATTTTTCATCTTATAGGCAAGAAAGTTATTTTTACTCTTGTAATAGCATAGAGAAGATAATAACTTAAACTGTGATAAAGTTTTAAAAGTCCAGGAACACAGGAGACAAAGAACACTTGGTGAATGAAGGTAGAAATATCTCAACTGTTAAAGTAAATAGATAGTTGATGTCATGTCATATTCCTCACAAAACTTGACACACATACATGCAAGCTACTGTACTTCAAAACACAGTATAATGAACACCTATTTTATTTATATTCAATATACTTCTAAATGTCTACTACTTTTATACTATTTCTCACTTCATTTAAATGTCATATTTGTAGAAAGAAAACACTAGCACACCAGTCTGTCTTCCCCCTGATTTCTTTTCTTGTAAGGCACATACCCCAGATTCATACATAAACAACTGTCACACATGGGCAAGAGGTATTATTTACTGAAGATAATTTTCATCCTAGATAAGCAAGCACAATTTGCTACACATTCAAGACATCTAATTCAGTTTATCTACTCTGGAAAAAGTAAGCAAGCAGGAAGTTTTTCAGCTGGCTAGAATTGCTTGGTCAAAGGTTGTGTTGTCATAGGACTGAGTCATGTGGTTACTATCCGTGGTGCTGAAATCCTTCCCAAGCATACTGAAATTGGAGGCTGGCTGTTTGAAACGACTTTCAGCCAAGCTAAATCTAAGAACAGGCAGTGAAATGCAAGAAGGGACTTTCAGCCTCCAAAATCTAGGAATAAAATTAAACCATCAGTATCACTATATATGAATTCACAATTCTTTCTTTTAAATCCCTGCAACTTTCAATATTTCTTTAAGCATCTATGCAATGTACCTCATTATTTCAAGAGACACACAGATTTTGGCATTTTTATTTCCGTTATAGAAAAAGAAGTCCCTCCAACCATTAACCTTCCAACTTTTACAATACTTTTTGTTACATGTGAAAATCATAATTTTCCAACATTTATCCCAACTGGAACCACTATAACAATTTTTATTGACTTGTGGGATATCTCTTAACCTCATCCTCAAAATAAGAAACATCCCATGACACTTCCATTTTAGAGGAGTCACCACTCAGGTTAGAATTACACCTTGAGGATGGCCTGGTTTCTTCCTTTTGTTGGACTTATAAGTTAGTATGACAGCCTCATCATTAGTAATGTAAATATCTAAACCAAAGCTTTCCTGAATAAAAAAAACTTTGAAAACATAATACATTGCTGAACTATTGTTGTAGGACGTCTGAAAATTATTAAAATGGGGAGGAGGTATCTTTAAACCAGGAACAGAAAAAGAAAAGTTAGTGTATCAATTGGGCAGATTTTTTTGTGCCAGACCACCATTACACAGATTTCCATCAACTCTGGTGTTTTGGGTGAGTCATATAAAGGAAGCAAATATTTCTTCTTCTAGCCAACCAGGATTTCTTTCTCCTCAACACTCTGCCTATTGTGGAATGTGAGTTTCCTTAAAGCTTATGGAAATAGAGACAGACAGACAGACAGACAGACAGACTTCAAGTCATAACCCAGTAACCTAGATGCTTTCTGCTCTGGCTTTGGGACACTGCTTTCCAAGGCTGGTGCTTAAACTGAGAACTGTGGTGGGCCAGTGCCTAGACCTCAGCAAGGGTGTTTATTCCTCCAACCAGCTTTTGACTCTTGCCACACCCAGTCTCCCACTGCTGCTGAAAGCTGAACTGAGTTCCTTTCTTCCTTTGACTCATGAAATAGCCCTACTTGCAAATATTTTACTTGCAGAATTGTTTTAGGTCTAGAGAAAAGACTCTAAGGGAGGTATTTGAAGCCAAATGTCATGATCTCATCTGGGTAGAAAAGCAGAACACCCTGTGAGATGAGCTTTGGCTATTAAAAGGCTATTATAAACCTGATCTTGTATACTTTTCTAGAGAAACACCCCCTACTAAATCCAAATCAAATCATGATAACAACCGTTCCATAATAAACCATGAAAATACGTTTCTGCTTTTAAAGAAAATCCCCATCCAAGTAATTCCCATGAAAAACAACATGTTTTAAAGCCATTTAATTTTAATAGCATATTTTAAGAAAAAAGCAGCATACTTTGTCAATAAAACATTAAACTCATCTCTTCAATGAAAGACAATTAAACAACACCAAAAATAACTTAATACATTACCATAGTAAATAAACCATCTATTAACAAAAACAAGAAACCAGGTCATATACAGAACTTAAGACTTCAGAGAGCCTCAAATGGAACATCAATACAGCAAAATTTGTAAGAATATATATGTGCATCATTTTGAATGAAATATTTACAATAGTTAAGGTACTAGTCATCATGTACCTAATACTTTTTGTTCCAAAAGAATTCTACCAAACAATGTGAATTTACAAGCAGTGCACTGTCTTTCTTATAGTTCAGATTAGTTTTTCTACAAACAAACCTCCAAAAGGAAAAACCGAATGGGTTTTTATAAATGTTAAAATGTAGTCAACAAAGCAATTGCAAACTAGAATACTGAAATATCTTGGTGAAATCTTAGAATCTGGGAGGACAAACACCAAGTGGCAAATGCACCTTAAGCTAGAAAATGATGCATCATAGTCATGCTTCCAACTGCTTCACGTCTTCTCTTCCATTAGAGGTGTGCGTGTGTGTCTGTGTGTGTGTCAGGGTGAGTGAGAGAGCGTATGTGTAGTGGGGACAATGTGGGAATCCCCATTAAATATGTAACAAAGTAAACAATACTTTGGACAGTGAATCAGTCCTACACGATTAAGACATCCATTACTGAGTGTCGACTCACAAATCAGAACACTACCAGTAAAAACAAAGAAGAAAACGATCTTCATTCAGAGTGAGAATATACAAATGGACCAAAAGGAACACGGTATATAAGCTGTAAAATTTCAGTGGACTCATCAAACACAAAATTTTTTTGACTTCACTAGCCATACGTTTCCCCCATATTTTTAGACTAAATTAGTTTAATTAATTAGAATGTGCACAAATTAAGTTGCTAGAGAGAGAAATTAATAATTTACAGAGGGTTGTTCAGGCAATAATCTAATAATAGCTTTCAAGATCAGTGAACACAGCAGGCGCAACTCCTTTCTTAAGCATTAACACTTCAGAAAAGGAAGAAGGGGGTAAGAACCACAATAAAAATATATATATAATATACAGTGTAAATGCAGAAAATCTGCCATTTTTTTTAATTCAAAATACTTTAGAGATGTCTCTATCACATTAAGCATCAACTCTGGTTTAAAGTTTCAGTCCTGAATCAATTTTTATTTCTGAAAAATAGCTGCAAAGTACTTTTAAACTTGAACAAGGGTGATGTCTTTAGGAATAAAAACAAATCTTACTTGATCATTCTGGGGGCCTTTTAAAAGGCTCTCATCTGCCTTCCTGCAAACAGCCAGCTCCAGACTTCCTGTGAAGAAGCCGCCGACATGCCTTTTCCGGGTGGGGTGGAGTTAAAAGGGACAACTTTGCTTTTTGACAAAATCCCTTCTTTTGTTTTTCTCTTCTTTGAGAAACCGTTTCACATTCTCACCGGGCTGGGGCTCAGTTGCTCGCTTATTCGCTCGCTCTCCAAATCCTCGCTTTCTCTGGATTCACATTTACTGGAACTGTTTCTGGTCGCCAAAAGTGGAAAGGAAAGAGGTAAGAGAGAGGGGGAGGGAAAAGGGAGTAAAGAGCGGGTTGTCCCTGGAGAGAACAATGGTCTCCTAAATGCCCGCGGAATATTTCATTCTTTTCTGTTTCTGCCTTTGGTTGCAGAACCAGACACGCACCACGTTTTTCTTAAGGTCCAGCTTCTCCGCGATGGCAGCGATCTTCTCGGAAGAGGGCCGGGGCTGGATGGCGAAGTAGGCTTCCAGCGAGCGCTTCTCGGGTGCCGCGATAGACGTGCGCTTGCGCTTCTTTTCTGCACCGTTGAAGAGCTCGGGCTTGGTGAGCTTCTCGCGGTGGGACTTCTCCGCCTCCTCGAGCCACGCTTGCAGGATGGGTTTGAGGGCGATCATATTGTTGTGCGACAGCGTGAGGGACTCGAACCTGCAGATGGTACTCTGGCTAAGCGAGCCCACTCCGGGGATCTTGAGGTTAGCGAGCGCGGAGCCCACATCGGCCTGGGTCACCCCTAGCTTGATGCGTCGCTGCTTGAAGCGCTCGGCGAATGCCTCTAGGTCCCGGGGATCGGCGTCCACGTCGCTCATGCAACCCATGTGTGAGGGCAGCCCGTGCGCGTGGGCCATGCTGAGTGCTGCTTGGTGCATAGGGTTCATGGTGGCCATGTGCGGCGCGTGAGCTGGCGTGGACACCACGGCACCGTCGGGGCCCGCCATGGCACCCAGGGCCAGCCCGGGACTCAGGTGCTCCAGCAGCTCGCCCTCAAGCGCCTGATGCGGCTGGTGGTGGTGGTGGTGGTGATGGTGGTGGTGGTGGTGCGTGCCCGCGAGGGCGGACGGGTGCGAGATGGGCACCGACGAAGAGGAGGCAGCCGACGTGCACGGGATGGTGTTCATGGTGTGGTAGGTGGCGTCTGGCTTGAAGGGGCTGTGGTGGGGCGGGTGGTGGTGGTGGCTCTTGCTCTGGGAGACGATGTCCACGGCCGCCAGAGCCTCGGCTCGGGCCAGCAGACTCTCATCCAGCCCACCGAATATATTGCTCTGCAATTGCAAGTAAAAGGCACACATTACGCTCAGCAGGGAATTGTGCGCACTCTCTCCGGAAGCCCCGGCCCAGCGCTCGGCACCGCTGCCGCTCCTACAACATTCTCAGAACGGTATAATAATAATAATAATAATGATAATGATAATAATAATAATCGTAGTAATAATAATAATAATCCTGAAAGTAGCGGAAGAGAGGAGAGGAGGGAAGCCACCGACAGAAGCCGAGAGTGCGCGAGGAGTTAAGTGAGCCTGCAAACACAACACAACACAACACGCGCACAGGCTACATCCCAGGTCATAAAAATTAATATGAAACCAGACCCGCTGAATACATAAGAGAGAGGGGGGGCGGAAATTGGTTAGAGGTGTGGGGTGATTTGCTGTGCAGACATGAAAAAAACATCAAGCAGATAAAGGGGGCTGTCAGAATGTCCCTTTAAGCGGTGATTATGCAGAAATACGCACCGGTGGGGTTGGAAGACAAGCTCTCCGCATCGCCTCGGAGCCCCCGCCGCCGCCGCCGCCACTGCCTCCGCTGGAGCCACTGCTCCGACCTCCGCCGCCCGCGCCGCTGCCGCCCCCGCCGCCAGCATTGCTCGAGCTGCTAGGGGAGCTGGCGGAGGGCGCTGCGGGTGCGGAAGAGCCGGGCGAGGCGCTGTGCAGGGCCGAGTACTTGGGTTCCACGTGCAGGCTGCCGCCGTGCGGCATGCTGAACGCCTGCTTGCTGTTCAGGGACATCATCATCATTTTCCCCGTCCGCCCGGACGTTCGTCCGCAGCGCACGCTCCGGCCCCGGCGGCCGCGACCCTCCCGAGAAGTGCTGGGCGAGGACGCGAGCGCGGAGGGGTGGTGCGGAGTGGCGCTCACTCGCCGCCGCTCCGAGTTCTGCGCGCCTGGCTCCGGCTACGCGCGCCTTCTCTGGCTCTGCTGTCCGTCTGAGCAGTTGAAGGGCTCTGCTTGGCGCTGGCTGCAGATCTGGGCGCCCGAAACTGCCCCCGCGCCTCGAGGCCACCAAGTTATACTCCCCTCTACTCGCGCCTACCCCCGCAACCCCCGCCTCCCGCCCTCCCGCGCGCCTCCGCCCTCCCCTGCCAGGAAGCGAGTTCTCCAGCTCGGAGTCTGGAGTTGCCCCTTCTCCCTTTTTGCTCCCTCCAGGCTAAGGTCCTTTCTGCTCTCCTGACACCCGCCTCCTTCTGCCTCGCCGCGCCCTCCACCTCCCTTCCCTGCCCCCGCCCGCTCTCTGACGCCACCGCCCCTTCCTCGCGCTCCACAGTTCTCACGTTAGTGCCCCTGCTCAACCTCACCCCACAGGCCGGGTCAACGCTCCAGGCCCCCGGCAGTTCCTACCTAAGGGGTGACTTTTAGCCACTCTCGCTTCTTCTGCCCAGTCTCCGCCTCTCCAGGAAAAGAAACTCCAAATAAAGTTACCAAGCCTTGGGTGGGTTTTCCCCTAGACTACTAGGAACGCCTCTTATCTAGGTGCCTCCCCCGCCTTCCGCTTACCGCTAAGTTCCAGGCTTCCGCCCCCACTCGGCCTGCCCCTCCCCGCAGCTCAGGTGACCCTGATCCCTGCCTCTCGACCGCGCGGAGGACGCGGACGTTGAGGCCCACCCGGACCCTCTGAGCTGCTCTGCGCTTCCGCCTGCTGCACGCAGTGGTTGACGCTCTGCTCTGCGCCTCCTCGGCCCGGCGGGTGCCTGGTGCAGAAGAGACATGGGGTCTACAGGGCTGCAGGGCTTTCTCTCACTCGGTTTCTTGCAGCTCTCAGCGGATTGGATGGCCGTGGAGCCAGCCCGGGTCGCCTATGCGCATGCGACTCCCCCCTCCCAGCGCTCTTGTACTTGCCGCCCCCTACACACACACACAAACACACACACTCTCCTCTTCCACCGTCTTTTCTCTTCCTCCCAATCTTCCAACTCCTCCTCTTTGCAACCAGTTCAGGGTGAGTTGGGTCTTGGGCGGATCCCCTGGCAAACACTGCCCTTGGATTTATTATTCTTCATTAGCAATAATCAAAGAAGGAAGGGGCAACTGACAGAGAGGCAGGGCCAGAGATTACAGAGCGCATGTGCTGCTGATCATCACCCCCTCCACTCCACACACACACACACACACACACACACACACACACCCACCCTCAGGGGTTGGCACAAGCCTCACTTATCTTCATTTCCACAGCCGTTCAGCGCAGAGCCTGTTTTTAGCCAACACTTCGCACTTTTGTCCCAATGTGGACCACTTTTCTTAGAAGTGGACGCACACTCTTAATTCAGTTGTGAAAGGGGACATCCATTCCTACACACACAACACCTTCTGCTTCCCGCTCCGGTCTTTTGGTGTTGGGGGCTCTGTCACAACCCCAGAATGCCGAAGGAGTGGGATGCAGGCGAGGGTGAGAAGCCCCGGAGACCAAGATCCTGGAGCCCGCGAGTGGCCTGACCCGCACGGGGATGGCTGGGAGCAGGTGCAGGCACACGGTGCCTGGGGAAGGCGAGCAGGTGCGAGAGCAGGCGGCAGGCCTGAGAGGCGCTGGCGCTCGCTGGGACAAAACAGAATGGGAAGGAGCGTGGCGAAGGGGGGCCCTCGAGTGGTCAGCGCCCGGAAGCCCCGCGGCGGCAGCGCCCGTTCACCCGTGACCTCAGCGGGGCAGGATGGCAAGTTCAAGTAGGGAGCACAGTCCTCGGGTGTCGCCAAAGCACCGGGAAGGCTCACCAAACGACGTGCAACGGGCTCTGTCCATGGTTCTTAACCCTTTTGCACTACTCCGGGGCTTTTCTTTATCCTCCCCTATGTAGAAGAAAATAATAAATAGTGGCGGAAGGGGATTCTTACCAGCAGCGTTCCCGAGCCTGAGCACGGAGAAACCTGGCCACGGGACTGAGAGGGTGTGTTGACATGAATGAATGTGGTTTGCGTCGGACGTTTCAAATAATCGCTTAGGTGTTTAATTTTCTACCTCGACAACAGCCAGGGTAATTTTCAAGGAAATAAAAAAAATGACATTGTATAGCTCTCACTGTCTCAAGCTTCGAGAAATGAAATAAATCAAAGTTAAAAGCTTGAGTATCATTTAATTATAGTGCGAATAGCGCTTTGAAAGAAGTAGAACAACATCTCTAAACAAATTATGACTGGGCCAGGAAGGAATTATTAGATTGAAATTTCATTTAGGCTCGGGAGACACCGCGCTTCACTGTGTAATCTGCTATGCCTCATCTGATTTGTATGCTTAATTCAGCTTGACGAATTTATTAGTTTTCATAATAGTGAAAAAATTGAGCAGTACGATGGGCTAATGCATTGCGTGTACTATAAATTGTATGTCATCGTGAAAGGCTGAAGTCTATAGAAATCTTTTATTAATGTCGGTATAGGAGGGAGGATTTTCATGCAAGCCTTCGAGAGGTTCACAGCAACTCTACTGTTGCTGTCTCACTGGTCCATTAACATATCGTCATACTAATTAGACTACTTCATCAGTGATATAATTTCAAACTTCAAATTATGTTCTAATTAACACGGGTTGTCCAATTTGTTTAATCTTCAAAAGGCTTTGGATGGTCTAATTAGTATAAACTGTTGAGCATCTCTACAGCCTAGTAAAAATCCATTGAAATATTTGGGTATGTTTTCTATGAGTACTCTGTTAGGGTCAAAGACTAACTGAAGTAACAGTGGAGGAGGAAAACAACTGGAAAACAAATGCCCGCACCTACTTAGTTCCTCCAGATTATATTACAAAGTGAATCACAGGAAAAACTTGTGGGTATCACACGTCCTAAACAGTGTATTTGTGTGTTTAAATAAAGGCATAAGAATATCAAGGAGAAAAACCACATGGGAAAAAAATTCTTCTCTTTCATTAGGTGCCTAATTAGATGTAAAGTGAAAAGCAGCCCTGAGGAGTTTCCCAAGCATTATTGTGGCAACAGTCTGCCGAACTTGGATTGCAAAATAAAATATTTGGGGGTGTTTTGAACCTCTCCCTGGTCCCACCCCCTCCACTGAGCTTAATTACTTGCAATAGTTGTTTTAATGTATCTTGTCACCTGGGAGTATTGAGAAATGCATATCGTTAATATGAATTAATCTTGATTTTAATAGCAACTGACAACTGATCTCCAAAATGCTAAACACTTGTCACCACTTCATATGGTAAATAAGGTAGTATAATAAATGCAGGAAATAAAAAGGATACTGTTGAGCTGACTGTACAAACTTTGTTTGGTATGGAATTTATTGTCTGAAACTTGAAAGCAGGACAACTCCCAAGAGAATGTTCCCTGATGGATAAAGCCCACATATCATTAAATTAATTAAATATAACTTCAAAAAAATCTGTTATTTCTCAATAATACCTCATTCCAGACAAGAAAAAAAGAAAAGTAAGCCCTTTCTGTAATTACCAAGTGGAAATAAATTAATATGTAGTTGTAGAGCAATTCAGAGTTTGTGTTCCTTTGCCCCTAGAAAACATAGTTTTTAAAAAAACAGGGCACAGAGCTAGATTTCTGCTTTTCTTACTTAAAGTGAAAAGTGAACAGCAGTGATTGTGTTGCATTAGAGGGAAGATGCAATTCTTCCTTCATCATCAGGGCTTGCAATCCTGCAATCTCTCCTTCCAGGAATGTCCAAAATACCAACGTCCTTGCAGTGATTATCAATAAAACCCATTTCGGTTTTGCCCACAGGCATTGCTGCAAAGTGCTCCAGCGAGTGTGGAAGCCACTCTCGGAGGAAAAGGACTCCAGCCCTCCAGATCGCGAGGCCATCTAACAACTGGAAAGTTGAGAATAAACCCCAGGGTGGAAGTAATGGCCCAATATCCGAAATCTGCTTCATATGACCTCGCCATATACTTTTATGCCCAAGCGGCTACATCCTCGCTGGCGCCTCTGCACATCCACAGACCTAATGAACCGAAAATAGAGAAGTGATTTTTAAAAACCAGATAAACTGAAAATGGATGAACTGTATGCCTACAGGAGGAGGGCCTTTCTTCTCGCCAAGCTTCTTTGTTTAACAATAGCTTCTGTCCCGTCCTCTGCCAGATGCGGACAGATGTGACTAGCTCCCCTCCCGGTGGGCAAGGAGTAGCTTAAGGTTCCAACCAAGCTCCTCCTCAGCAGCGGGGTCCCTACAGTAGGCGCCTTTCCGCACCGCCCCCACCCCAACCCTGAAATCAGCCCTCAGCCATCCCTGTATCTGGGTCCTAATTTTCTATTAAAATTTTAAGCAGTGCATTCATATTTTACCGGACCTAATGTGTTTTATTAAATTTTAATCTATTAAAGGCAGTAAGATTTCTTTGTATTTCAAGCAGAATTGAGTTGGACTACAAGAAAGATTTCCTAAAGGGTAGATCTAACTCTATCCCTGCACCTTTTCAATCTGAGTTAAGAGTTGGGGGAAGGAAAGGGAAAGTATAAATTGCCTTCATCTCAATTTCTCTGGCAGGTCAGTCTGCTCGAGATTTTGAACAGAATCCTACCTCCTGAGCTCTCTCTGAACTCCGAGCTTGGGGCGGAAGCATAGGGGGTGATTCAATTCCTCCATGGCCTCGGTTGTGCCAGAGAAGAAAAAAGAAGGAAGGAATTATCCCTCAAACTGAGACTTTTGGGAGCGCCCAGAGAGCTGGCCACAGAGGATGGGTCAGGGAAGGAGAGCTCCCTAGGTTTGGTTATGCCCTGAGACAGATGCCGATTTGGAGTGATGGGTGCGTTTTGCTCAAACATCTTTCCTCC